CTCTTTCTAAGGATATTTAATGACTCTCCAAAAACTGTAACAAAATGTTTAACTGTTACCAAAATAGAAACTAAAAATTGGAGAAGAAAGAATATTTTCAATATGCATGTTATTTGTAATGAGAGAAGATGCAGGTTAGTTATTGATGGAAGAAGTGCAATAAATGGCATCTCAACTCATGCCATTACTGGAACAAATCTTAAAATTGAACTGCCTGAACCTTTTTATGTTAGTTGGCTCAATCATGCATCTCTACCTATCACAATTAGGTGTCTCGTTTCTATAAAGATTGGTAGTTATTAAGATCAAATATGGCGTGATGTCCTTCTCCTGGATAATGCTCACATCTTATTAGGTAAACCTTAGTTGTGTGACTTGAATGTACTCCACTATAGTAGATAAAATACTTATGTTTTTAAATATAATTATAAAAATATTAAGCTCGTTCCTATCCAGCCTTTAGAAAAAGGTCTCTCCCATAGCACTTAATAAACCCAATTCTGATCTACAACCTAAACCCACTCTTAAGTAAGGTGCTAAGCTCCAATTAATGATTGTAAGAAATCCTATTATTATGGACAACATTATCATTTCTTATCTTAATTCCAACAACTCGCCTGCTCCATCAACTCTAAAAAAAACTATTGGATTTGGAACAACAAAAAAGAAGTTTTCTGGTATGCCCCTCCTACATTTATTGCACATGAAAGAAGTAACCTCTGAATCTAATGAGACTCACATACATGCTATGGTCTCAACTCTTCTTTCTGAATTTACTCATGTTGCACCTAATGAATTACCTGATAAGTTACCCCCACTTAGGTTCATTCAACACGTCGTTGACTTAACCCCTGGTTCACAACTCCCCAACCTTCCCCACTAACGAATGAACTTCACTAAGCATACTGAACTAAAGAGATAGGATGAAAACTTACTTAAGAAAGGATTTATTCAAGAAAATCTTAGTCCCTGTGCAGTTCCAACATTACTAACCCCAAAGAAAGACGAAACATAGAGGATTTTTATTGATAGTCGAGCCATTAATAGGAACACTATTAAGTGTTGATTTCTCATTCCTCGACTGGATGACATGTATTTAATCTTAGGGGCAATTTTTTTTCCTAAAATTGATTTAAAAAGTGGTTATCACCAAATTAGGATTTAATCAAGAGCTGAGTGGAAAACTATTTTAAAACCCTAATGGACTTTATGAATGGTCACTGATGCCCTTCGACGTTTCAAATGCTCCAAGTACATTTATGAGGTTAATGAACACCATCCTAAAACCTTTTATAAGAAATGTTTTTGTTGTTTATTTTGATGATATCTTGATTTTTAGCCCGAGTGAGATGGACCATTTATAACAGCTTCAGCAAGTATTTGAAAGCCTCGGGAAAGAACAATTGTACATCAACTTGAATAAGTGCTTCTTCTTACAAATTGAGGCAATTTTCGTGGGAATTATTGGTTTCCATGGCTCGAATAAAACCTGGCACTTCCAAAGTTCAAGCAATTTTAGACTGGCCCGCACCTAAGAATTTTACTGATGTGCATAGTTTCCATGGCCTGGCCACTTTTTATAGGAGATTAATCAAAGACTTTAGTACAGTTGTCGCCCCAATATTTGACATTTCGAAACTGGAGAAATTTCATCGAACCCCTACAACACAAAAAGCATCAGATCATATTAAGGTTTTAAAAACATCTGCCCCTATACTTAGGATGCCTTATTTTTTTAAAGCTTTTGAGGTAACTTGTGATGCTTTTGGCATTAGAATTGGTGAAATCTTAAGTTTAAAAAATCACCCAATAGCTTTCTTTAATGAGAAATTGAATGAACCTAAACAACAATATTCAACATATGATAGAGAACTTTATGCTCTCATTCAATCTTTGAGACGCTGACGTCATTCCCTTTACATAAGGAGCATATTCTTAACTCAGATTATCATGCTCTTAAATTTATTAATACTCAACGAAAGATAGTCATAGGCATGCTAAATGAGTTGAATTTCTTCAAGATTATTCTTTTGTTTTCGAGCATAAACCTGTTGATGCCTTATCTAGGGTGGCTTTTAACTATAAGCTCTCTACAACTGAAAATTATAGGTCAAAGATGAGTACCTTATGTGTCCTGACTTAATCTAATTTATATGAAAAACATAGAAAAACCTTTGCCTCTTCAAAGAATATTTTGTCACCAATTGATATCTATATAAGAAAAAACAACTTTGCATTCCTAGAACTTCACTTAGAGAATTTTTAATCTCCAACTGCATTCTAGAGGAATAGTTGGACACTTTGAAAAGGATAAGACCATCTGTTTAATAGAAAGTATGATTTTTTTTCCTTCAATTAAGAGAGATGTTAAAAAATTAATAGCTCAATGTTTGACCTGTAAACAAGCAAAAGTCATTGAACAAAAATCTGGTCAATATGTTGCATTGTTGGTACCCTATAGGCCTTGAGAAGATCTCTCAATGGATTTTATCCTAGGACTACCCCGCACAGCTCGAGTACATAATGGCATATTTGTCATAGTTGATCGCTTCTCAAAGATGAATCATTTCTTGTCATGCTCTAAAACCAACAATGCTTCCCATGTTGCTAGATTATTCTTTAAGGAATTTGCACCACATGGCCTACCTTCAACCATTGTGTCTGACTGTGATGTTTGCTTTGTTTCATATTTTTGGAAAGCTCTTTGGAAATTATTAGGCATGAAAATAAACTATCATCTATCTTTCATCCTCAAATAGATGGTCAAATTGAGGTAGTTAATCGAACATTAAGAAATCTTTAAGATGCCTTGTAGGAAAGAATTTAGGAAATTGAGACTTGCATTTACCTATCTCTGAAGTTGCATATAATAATACTATTTCGAAGACAACCAAAACTTCACTTTTTGAAATTGTTTATGGCCAAAATCCCAAACGACATATTAATATAACCAACCTCCCACCTCATGCATTCACAGATTCTGCATTTTCATTTGCCAAAGATTTTCAAATCATCCATAAAATCATAAGAAACCAAATTATTTTAATTAATGAACAGTATGCTTCTAAAGAAAATCATAATAGATCAATAAGAGAATTTAAAGGAGATTATATTTTGATTCGCATTCATCCTAAGAGGTATCACACCATTAAGTTTAAGAAATTATAAGCAAGAGCTTGTGGCCCCTTTAAAATTCTAAGGAAAATTTGATCCAATGCTTATCACCTTGATTTGCCTATCAGTATGCTAGTCCAACCTATTATTAATATTGAAGATGTTCTATCATATGGAGGTGTTAGCAAACCACCACTTATTAAGACTAACTTTTTGGTAGGAGATATAATTCCCCATGTGCAAAATCCTTTTTTTCTTGAAGTTGAACGCATCATCACCGATGAAGCGCCCATCGAACCAGCTGCTTAGCATCGTTTTCTAGTTCGTTGGAAGAATAAGCCGCCCATTGATGATGCAAGGCTAACCCGAATTGATTTGGAAACTTTAGCCCCACAATTAGTACAAAAGTTCTTAGATTTCAACTCTACGAAGAAGAGTTCAATTGAGCCTGAGAGAGTTGATGCAGCACATCATCAAAATGAAGTGAAAGATCCACTTACAAGAGCCCTAGCAAGACCCTATGAAAGTACCCAATTAAAAACCCATTCAAGGCCCAATGCAATATCATAAGAAGATGACATATTTGAATTTGTATTTTATTATTTATATTTTGATTTCAGTTTCTAGAATGTTTAAATTTTCAAATTTGCAGGTTTTTATGACAGGTCATAAAAAAATAAAATAATAAATTAGGAATGTAGTTAGTACCTTCCTTCATTAATGACCACCAACCACTCTTTAAGAGTTCCTTCTCCTTTTATTAACTTTTTAACATTGTAATTCCTATAAATATGGCTGATATATAATGCTTTGAATCAGTTGTTCAATGAAATATTTAAGTGAGAACTTTTTCTATTGTTGTTTGGTGTTTCATGGCTTCAAGTGAAGCCTTTTTTTGTGAGATTAGGTATTTATCATTGTATTTCTTTTATGTTATTCATTTATCCTCCATAACACTTGCTCCTAAACTCTTCACCACTCTTCATCCACTTCCTAAGCTTCTTATAATATAGCAAACCAACAACCAAAGCAACCATTCCAAACTCCTCTTCATAGCTCTTGGCCAAGCAAGAGTATATTAAGACCTATTCTTGTTCCCTAACCGTAAACAACATTGTAAGCCCATCCAAACCCACCCATCTACTTCAGATCATAAGTATACGTCATAAGCTAACCACCAATAATCATTTCTAGCCATTTACCTATTATTAAGCCAATTTTCCAAAGATATGATTCAAATCAGCCCAAACAAGCCTAATCCAGACTAGACTCGGTATTTTAGCCACCATTCCACCAAAACCTCCACATCACAACTTTAGACCTAAAATCAAACATCAATAGTAAATGTTAATATTTTATCTCATCAAAAAGGCTACTCACCTCCATCAGTATGAATATGAAACAAAAAAAAGGATTTAAAAAAATCAAACACAATATATCATGAGCATGGTTTAAATTTTATGATTAAAAGGGATGCCATGGTCAAATAAATTAGTGATTAGGTGTATGAATAAAAGAACTAAAGAAACGGATCCACTTAAACAAGAACTTATGCATCATGTCCTACAATAACTGCATGATCATAAAATATTAAGCGGAATCTGAAAAGAGTTTCACAACATATTCTGCAAAAAAGAATTCAACCTGAGATCAAGAACACAACAAAGGGCAAAAATGTGTGAAGGCTAAAAAGCAGCAGTAAAAGGGCTTGTAATCCATTGCTTTAGGGAAAAAAAAGCCTTCCATAACATAACTTCTTGCTTTAGTTATATTTTTGTCTTTATGGATTCTTAGTCAACCAGGTCAAATGTGAATTTCATTGGGTTGTCACCAACCAGAATTTAAGACTAAAATTCAGAAGAAGTACACAGAAAATGCAAGCTTACCTTTGGTTTTAACAGAAAAACATGAGCATGAAATCCGAATAAGATAGCTCGTACTGCAATAAAAAGAAAATCGTTTAGAAAGTGTGAAATCAATGTTAAATATTTTGCAAAAAAAGTCAACATAGTTCTAAAATTCACCTCCATTAACAATAAAGTTCATAAGATGGAACACCTTCTGGGTTGTCCAGCCAAATTCAGGCACACGAAGCTGAATTCGAATTAGTTGAATCTGCAATAACGAATTAAAAGATCACAACATTGAATGTCACTGCCAATAAAGAATGTTACAGGAATACTCCTACTTGATCTGAACAATTAAGTTAATTTCCGCACAAAAAAAAACATCCAAAACACAATCATATGATTTAAATGTACAATAAACGTATGTTTTGTGTGTAATTTTGGTTTAGAAGCATTTTGAAACATTGGAAGCACTAAACAGTGTGAAGCAATAAATAATGCACTTATATAGGTTAATTTGTTCTCTACTTATATATTAATTAAAATAAAAACCATAGGTTTTTCTTAGTTAAAAACATCAAACTTGTAGTTTTCTAGCGTTGCCTTCTAATAGAAACATGAACAAGTTTTTTTTATCGTCGGAGACTAAATGTACCAAATAATTTTGAGCGGGGATATAAAGAAATGGTTTAATCATCCATAAGACAAAGAAATGCAGATTCAAATCCACATAAGTTTCATTTATCGACGAGGAATTCAACATGAAGAGAGATCAAGTTATGAAGAATGCTATTATTTTCTCAAATGAGAAAGGAATAGTTGACATGGAAGCAATGTAACAAATAATGGTAGCTGTACTAATTGGTACCCTTCTTAGGTAGCAAATGGGAGTAGATACATAACAAGAAAATGTAATAAATAAGCATTTAAAATGATAGTAACTTAGTAGCAATGACCAGCCTATGTTTGTCGTCTTTTCACATTCATGTGACATTCCATATGTCATCTCATATCACATCAATGAAAAGCACATCAAAATTGATATAACAACATAAGGCCCAAGATCAATTACTAGCCATTCTCTATTTTGAGAAGAGTCAAATGCTGTTGACAAGTATCTCGGAAGAAAGCATCAAAAGGACCAAGAATTTGGGGCATGTAACTCGGAGATAGAGGAAAAGAATGACAATTGTTTAGCAGAGGCACCTAGTATGAATAGTCTATGCTAGCTTTTCTAGTGCCCAACAACGGATATCAAAGAGTGCTTTAAAGCCAAGTGTTGCAATGTAAATCCATCATAAGCCAACTTTATCTTATCACAACCAGATAATGCAAAGCATGAAACACGTGTTGTGAGCCATACTTCATTAAAATAATCACTAAGCATGCTGCTCACGCATGCCAATCCAACTTATTGATATTTCAGTTCATAGGAAGAATAAATGAGCCACGCCTTCGCATGCAAATGTAGCCATCAAGTTTTCTTCTCCACACAACTCTTATCTCCATTTCTTCTCCTTTAGCGGTATACTTTCTAGAGTGATCACACTCACAACTCAAGTAAACAGTCAACAATAGCTCTTATCCTCCTGCAGATCTCAGCACACATGTGAACCTTCATCTCATTGATTTTAGGGTAATCATCACTTTGGATCCTCAATGCTTCCTCAAATTTTGAATTGTTGGATTCTCATAATTCTATTCAAATTTCTATTTCTTAACCGTATCAACTCAATTTTAAGAAGCACTTCAAAATTTTCGAGACATTGTCTATAAAATTTCATTTGTATTTTAATTAAACTAAGTTTTAAATTTGATATAACAAGATTGCAATATGAATTTTCAATCAATTTTTGGCAATCTATTGTTGCACATAATAATATATGCATCTAAAACAATAATCTTGCATGGTTTAGTTTTGGAATTACATATTTAGTGCATGAGCATGATATATGAACATACATACATGGGCGTTCTAGTTAATAAAAATGACACTTTGCTTTATGCATTGTGCTTCGCTCATTGAAGCGAAAATAAATCTGATGCATTGCATTACACTTTACTATTTAAAAGCACAGTCATCATTATCCTTCATCCTCAAAGTCACTCGTCAGTCTACAATCATATCTGCGCAGACTAATGCAATATAAAGTAAAGCAGCTTGGCTGTAAAGGTAAAAAGCCAACAAACATCATATGTAACTTAAGAAAAATATATAGAAATACACAAAATAAAATTTAAAAACAAAATTATAACTTAATTTAAAAATACACTTGGATTAACTAGAAAGAATTTTCCATGTAATAAACAATCAGATGAATCAAAATAATGATCATGATCTCTGCTTCACTTGTTGGAAGTACAATAGCATCAGAATCAAAATCACAAGTTTAACTATGCTGAGCACAGTCATATCTTCGGTGTCAAATCTTCCAAACATGCCAATTAAATTGTAGGAATAAAGCAACAAGAAAACTCAACAAATAGATAAAGTACAGAAAAGTATCCAGGATCTCAATAGAGGGCAAAACTCGACCCAGAAGTAACTCAAACAGCACAAATGTTGTAACAAGCATCTACAAAATATAAAATAACAAGATTATATTAGAATGGTGGGGCGAATAAAACGAAACACATAAGACACAAGTAGAATTGAAATACAAGCTACAAAATAGACTAGAAGGCCAGAGTAAAAAGGTTCAACTTTTGAAAGTGACTTTTGTTGTGTGATTAATACAATGCAGCTCTTGTAGTCTCTTCTGAGAAGGATATAACAAAAGCCCATTATAACTTACTGAAAGACAGTAAATCGCTTGGATTAAATATTAAGATTTATAAAATTAACAACCTTGAATTGTGAGAACTATGAATATAATAGAGAAAAAAGATGTTTGTTCTACTTTCTAATCAAGGGACTTACAAGACAATACACCTCTAAACAAATTGGCACTAAAACACATTACCTGAAATTACTAGCTCACGCTTAAACTATAGATATTTCACATGGCATGTCAAATTAGATTCATAATTACTTTTTTCAAATGGTTGCTAAAATTTATAATCCAAATTCAAAAATAATGAAGAGTGGCATTCAACACTGCACAACTTACTCCTTTATCTAGTGTTGAATAAAAGATAGTCCCACAAAAATACAACTCGAGAAGGAACATATGATACCACTTAATTCTTATCTATTTACATAACTAAAACCAAATTTTTATATTTGCCTAGATAACACGCTCATATATATCACATTAACATATAGATAAAAATATGTATTTCACTATAATAGGTAAATTTTAATGGTATTTTTATGTGATATAAAAAATAGGGTATTATATAAATTAAAAGAAAGATTTAGGTGTTAAATATTTAAAAATATAAGCACTTTGTGAAATGCATTTACATCCCCCAAAAAAATTATCATATTCCAAGCCTGTAATATTTTAGCATACTTATATTAGAGAAAAGGATAGCATGCGGCTGAGATAAATCATATACTTTTATGGAAATTTTAAACCAATTGAACTGAAAATTTGACAAAAGAAGATGCTTAGAGAAAAAAAAAACACAAGATTTAAATTATAAACCGCAGCATCATGTGCTGCAAAACCTTGAAAGTCTATCTCAAATCATACTATGGGCTGAGAGAAACGTTCCATAAGCATCATTTCTACGCCATGTCTAAGCCAACCTGGAAACTAGGATTAAGGCTATCCTTATAAATAACAATTTAGTCGAGATCATCGACAGCAATTTTGTAAATCCATTTGGGCATAGGTTAAGAACTTAGACAGGGAATGTGCTGATGATGATCAAAACGTGGCTCTAAGCAGCCATTCCAATAAATTCTTCAATGAATATTCTAAAAAAGGAAAGAATGAACTCCGCAACAACATGACTGGAACTCTTTGACCTGCTGGTAAGATACTTGATTAGAAACATGCAGTATAAAAGGTAGCAGATTCACCATATGACCAGCGGAGACCTAACTCTTCCCATGATATTATTAAGAGAATCAAATCGTACGAATCTTCCTTTTCACGGAAGGTCCACTCGGCAAGCATATTAAGCTATGAAGGCCATTCTAAAGTAAAAACATCGATAACAACCCAGAGCTACAGAAAAAAGGCGTATGTTTGAAGTCTGACCAAAGCGATGGCAGAGACTAGGGCGTATGCCGCGCAGAGAAAGTAGAAGACGCCATCCTGCCACTGAGTTGACCTGTTTATCTCATCCCACCAGCTGGAAACTAGCTTATTGGTAGCCCTCGATGCTTCCACCTCCAATGCTAGCCTCTTCATCTCTGAGTTCCCACTTCAGTTCGCTAGGGTTTCCAAGTTCAACAATCTCGTCCGGGAAGAATACGGGACTTGAAAGCTATTGATCTCTCTCGAAAAAGCAACAAAAGATGGTGTGAAAAGATTGGATAAATTACAGGGACGGACGGGAGAAGCCGGGCGGCGGCTTAGGATTCGATTGGTTTATTTCTAATCTATATTGAAAGATATATATGGATGCTAAAGAGTTCCTACGTATTAAGGTACTAACATCTAAAATTTCATATTTATATTAAGATACTTTTAGGGGACTTATAATTTACATTCATGTCATCTAATTCTTAGTATATTGCATAGATAACATCCAAAATTTTAATATTACATGCATACTGCAATTCTTCTCAGTTCTTCGATCTTACTAATCCACTGTACAAAGTAATAGTCAAGGTAATGATGAGATTGCAACGAACAAAGACCTTCAAAACTAAACTCCTTTCTTTCTCATCCTTTGACCCCACTCATCTAAAGGTAACTAAGGGATCGCGGTTATTGCATCCAAACTTGTCCTGTAAATCATGACCAAGGATTGGAGTAGTAGGAACATTGAAGGAGAAATAGAGAAAGAGGAAAAGAAATAAAATAGCAAATATGGACTTGCCCCATATGACGAACTAGAAAAATGCTGGGCTCTGGGACATGTTTTATATCTTGTAACTGAAGGGTTACAAATGAGAATATGTGAATCTCCTTGCAAAGTGTTTTCGTTTTTTCTCTTTTTAATTTTAAGTGAGTTGTTTGTTTGTCCACAGTCGTATACTTTCCCTTTTCGAATAAGTCTCTCTTTTCAATCATGTAAATGATCAGGAGAAGAGACGAACCAGAAAAGACGAATATATGATAATGACGACTAACAAGAGAATAAAAACATGGAGAGTCTATGTGTGATAAACCTCGCAATGATAAGTCGAGTATGTTCGCCCAAACAAGATTGGGCGGAAGCACCTTGGACCAATATTTATGAAAGAATACTTACATAAACTACCCACATCTAGAGATTCATGTGTGTTTGCTTATTTTGGGGTCCAGAATGCTCCCAATGGGACATTTCCAACTTGGTTAATTACATCTTGGGGGTTGTCCAGGAATACTTTTGATCTAGAGAGTTTTGTTTATACTAGAATTGACAACTAGCACAGAATTATCAAAGAATAATTATTTTACATATGAATGCTCCGATGTTTTCAAAGCTCCCACTAAACTACAAGGCAGAGTGAGTCTCTCATGGTTCTGCATGGGCAACTGACTCCTCAACATACGAAGCATGCTAAACAATTGAATCTTTCTAAAAGGGAATTTCAATACGTCAAATCACTTCTAGGCCATAAGGGCAAATGAAAAATCGTCATATCCCAAACGGGCAGCAGCTAATCGGTAAACAGACCATCAAGATGATATCAACGACAACAAGATGAGCGAAAGGAATCAAAGTGAGTAGTCAAAGGAAGGGAGGAGTAATCCCTAAACAGATAGAAGTGTCTGGGTCAGGGTACCACGGACCCGTCATCCCAAGCTATTATGACCCTAAGTCTATCTAGTTATAAAGGTAGTCGACCCAACACGTTCAAACATCACTGGTCAATAATCTTTGAATTGTGTCATTCATGTGAACCTCAACGGCCCTTAGATCAAAGAAATTAAACTTTATCATATAACTATTAGGTGGAGCTCTAAGGGGTGGGACTTTTACCCGTCAAAGTACCAAAGATGTCGCTATAAAAAAGAGAAAGGGGGG